CACACACACACACACACACACACACACACACACACACACACACACACACCAAACATCCATTATCCAGGCACTGAGTTTGTTATATAACAGTTAGATATGAATAAATGAAGACTACAGCAACACTTCTGATTATTCTACTGACTTAAACAAATATTAAACAGGACTGTTCAGAGAAGTTACAGACATTAAAACATATCTGACACAAATATACTGAGTCCTTGTAGACTGGGTGTAGACTCGGGTCCTGTCAGGAGGAGTGCAGGGAAAAGATAATAATATCCAACAGAGCGTAAAGTCATACAGAAAGTTAGTTTCTTTGCAAAACGACATTTAGGTAAAAGCTCGGCTGCGTTTGAGCCACAAAACAAATGAGTCGTTACAATTCTCACTGTCCTAATTCTCCTCCTAAGGTGAAGACATACAGGAAGTGGTGGGCACAGTTCTAACTCACTAATAGCAGAACTATCAGGTTTTTTTTCTTTTTTGCCAACTTTGGAAACCATTAGTTGACAGATTAGCTTATGCTAAATTAGGTTCCGCTAATTTTTAGTCTGCTAAACAATTCATGAGTGTAAAACTACGGAGCCCGCGAGGGGACATACTGTAGGAGATTTTTTTTCTTTTGCATTCTCACGTAATACCTTTGCGTTACCTCGCAATGCTTTTGCGTTACCTCGCAATATTGTTTTGCGTTCCCACGCAAAAGTTTGATTTGTATATGAACTGAATTAAATCAGACTTTTATTTTGAAATATCCGGTTACCAAAACAGGATGTGTCGCCACAAGTTCGTGAAATTGACATTAATGTTGTGTGGCTGCACTGTGTTCAAATATCAACATATGACATACTTCCATGTGTGGTTGTGTGATATATTCATTCTGAAGCTGAATTAAAGCAGTAGGCTAACTCACTAATGGTGAACATGTGAGTTTGTTAATAAACCGGCAGGAACAACAGTGATAAATGACTTTTGCGAGGGAACGCAAAAGGTATTGCGAGGTAACGCAATACTTTTACGTGGGAACACAAAAAGAAAAAAAATCCCTCATGTCCCCTCGCGGGCTCTGTATAAAACTTCCATTTTTATACCATTTATCCCAAATTAAATAAAAACTATCCCCTATTACAAGCAGTGTTGTGTGTGTCAGGCACTGTGTGTAGCATGTAGCACCTTTAGCGGCTAAACTTCAAACTAAGAGCATCAAAAATACAATAACATTTAACAATGATTAAACAACAATACAAAATTGACTACATATAAAAAAATGGTAGAAAAAGTATTTGCTATTTGTTGTTTGACAAACTTCCAAGAATATTTATAAAAATACAAACTCGATGAAAGAAATGCTTTTATTCTGAAAGAGGTAAACTGGAAGTATCACAAGTGAGCTATAACTCTGGTTTGGATTGGCACAGATAGTCCCACCCACCTTCAAATTAAACAATAGAAAACTAACAACATTTTTTTTATTTGTTTAGCAGTTTAGCGAAAGCAGAGCTAAGATTCTTATTTTGCAGATTAGTGGTTAGTGAAGCTAACCTTTTAATTAGCTGTGCCCACCACTGCATACAGATGTTTAACACAGCTGTCAGATGTTGTTCAACTAGAGTCATGTTACATGTTGGTCTTATTGTCGAGAAATCACTTCTATCAATTAACTAAACTAACGTTGACTTACCGTGCTCCATTTAAAAGTTATTTAAAACACTGACTCTGTCTAAGAAATGTGCTCAAGTGTAACGAAATTTGTTTTTTAGTTGGTTCATCATAAAATAATCATATTTAATAAAAGAATCTGCAACTAAGACATTTAAAAGGCCAAAACTTTTGTGTTTTTTTGTATAAATTCCTGCTTGAGTTGTTCATTTTTAACTTCGAATTGCTCAAGAACAATGTTTGTTTTTAAGTTCATAAAAATTATTTCAGGGTTGGCCATTGCCCCCTTTGATCCCCCCTTTATGGCACCTCTGATTCTAGTTTACAAGTTTGCATCACTGAGAATAAAAAATCAGTTTCTGCTTCTTCTGCTGAATTAAATCAGTCCAGCAGCACAGAATGTATTCAACGTTAAAAATAAAGAAACAACAAGTCTTATTAAAATAAAAATACTATAGATTAGTTTGTAACATCCTGAAATTAAAGACTGATGCTAAACTGTTGACAGTTATTGGTATTTTACACGTTAGGACAAAGAAAGGAAAAGGTTTTGATTAAATCACTTATCAAAGCAGCTATGTGAGCTTTTTATATATTTGTGTAAAACTATGAACAAAAATGTCCCACTTTTAAAAAAAAGATTAAAAAAAGCAGAAAGTGAAGATAAAATTAGGCCTGTCTGGATGTTTTATCGTGACTCGATATATTTCCTGTCATGAAGGCAGAAACCTTCACTTACTTCAACTTTTATTCAAATGTTTTACAGAAGACACGCTGGTCGGCTCTTGTGTCAGAATGAGTTTATGTTTCCTGCCATGGTTATAAAATTAAACATTTTTTATTTTAATGTTAGTTTTGGTCAAAGCTACGAAAAGCTGCTGCAGCTGGATCTGTTTTAATTGAAGGAAACTCCTTCTTTATGTTCTGTTTTTTCCTCTCCTTTTGTTTGTTTTGATCAGAATTCAGCTTTAAACTGGAGAAACTGCAGCTACCTGTAGGTGGCGCTAGCTCACTTTCATTATGAGCAGATTGGAAGCACAAAAAAACTACGTATGCTTACAAAATAATATCTCGCTTCTCTGTGGCGAGAGTCCAAACTGTAGTTTGTCAACCGTATCTGGGTGCACCCTTTTTCCCATCGCCACCATTTTTCAACCAACAGTCGCCACATTTCTCACCATTTATCCCTTCTTTGGGAAGAATCTCAACTCTGCACATTTATTTGGTCACTTCTGCTCCCCCACACCCTCCTTTGGTTCAGTCAAAAATACTGAATAGAAAAAGACAAAGGAAATATTTTTTGGCAAACAGGGAAAGCACATATGTAAAAATAAAAATCCTTCTAGTCTGGCTGAGGGGGCGCAGCCAGCAGGTCGTAGAAGTTTTTCTGACCATGTGTTTTATAAAAGGAGGGGTGTAACGAAGGCTGGCAGTGACAAAAAAAGAGCCTCGGAGTGGAAAAAGGACGACATCAGTGTTAATGCCCGCAGCGAGCTGAAGCACAGAGAGATACACCTCTCCGGGGGAGAGATAGTTTATATGACGGGGTTCTGGCAGGAGGAAGCAGCTGCTTTCACAGTGTTTTACCTAAATGTGAACCGAGTCTGAGCTGTCCGTATCTACAGACCTGTCCTCTCCGAGGGAAGGGGTGGGGGTCGGGGG